GACAAATACCAAATGATATATGTGGAATTTAAGAAATAAAGCAAATGAGCAAAGAGAAAAAAAGAGAGAGAGTTAAACCAAGAAACAGACTCCTAACTATGGAGAACATAAACTGACAGTTACCAGAGAGGAACTGGGTGGGGGAATGGGCAAAATAGGTGATGGGCAATAAGGTGTGCCCTTGTGACGAGCACCAGTTATAATATGGAGGTGTTGAAACACTGTAATATGCACTGGAATGAATATTCCCCTGGGTGTTAGCTAACTGGAATTTAAATAAAAACTTGAAAAAGGGTAGTAACCAAGATAAAATTAACATCCCCTTCAGCCTGACTAACTGTTAGATAGGTTTCTACCTGGCCATAGGCCCCTTACCTTTCTTACAGCATTTACCTTAGAAAACTTGCAGTTGCAAATTCTTTCTCTACCCCTTTGGGATATACATCTTTATCCAACCCTTTGCCACTTTTACAGCGGAGGACTGTCTTTCTCAAGGCTCTGGGAGCCATCTTTTTGAAATGTAATCAGCAAGAAAGATTGTGTCCCTATCTCCCAGTGTTTGTGGGAGAGTAGGAACCTAACTTTGAAAAGTACCAATTAGCAAGCCTAATCACATTGACAACCTCCCTTCTAGTGCTCTTTGCTACTTTCTACTGTTTCACTCCAGTGGTTAGAAATTCTCCTTTTGTTTCAGTGGAAAAGAAGTTGAGTTCAATATCTCTTCCCTATTGCAGTAGTCTTTTTTTTTTTTTTTTAAGATTTTATTTATTTATTTGACAGAGAGACACAGCAAGAGAGGGAACACAAGCAGGGGGATTAGAAGAGGGAGAAGCAGGCTTTCCGCTGAACAGAGAGCCCAATGCAGGGCTTGATCCCAGGACCCTGGGATCATGACCAGAGCTGAAGGCAGAGGCTTTAACCCACTGAGCCACCCAGGCACCCCCCCTATTGCAGTAGTCTTGAATAAAGTTTTATTTGTCACTGATAATTCACAGACCTGTACCCCTGACACAAATAATCCATTATATGTTAATTTTTTTAAAGTTTTACTTGTCATTTTAAATAATTTTCTAATGCAATTCTTCTTTTGTGATTCAAGAAGAAAGCTCTAGAGAGAAAGTAGAACTCTTTTGGAAGCCTGGAACAAGTAATGACCTACACTAAGTGAAGTAGAAATGCCAGAGTTCTATGGGAGATGGTAGAAAAAAGAGTCAAAAGGCTTATGAAAAGGGGCATGTCAGAAAGGATAGACTTAAGGAAATCTGAAAAACCCACCAGCCAACTATATTCCAAGGAAGAACTTAAAGAACAACCTATTGCTAAAGCAATAAAGAATATGCTTATGGCAGGAGTAATAGAATTATTGAGAGTCTTGGTGGATGGTCTCTAGAGCCCAGGGATGATAGCGGAGATTATGTTACAGAACTGGGCTTCCTGACAACAGTGGAGATGATAGATATTTAACCACCAAAGGAAGCTGGGGACAATCATTGTAATGTGTAGCAAGGTTGGAGTAGCATCCAGAACAGTGTGACTTGTAAAGAGCACAGTGTTCCTAGGGGCGAAGTTGATGAACAGCTAACAATCATAATACTCAGTTTATATAACTAAAGGAAATGTTGCCTTAATAAAAAGGTACAATCTCTTGCGAATTTCCAAACTTGATCCAGATCTCAAATCTGGAATCCAGTGACCAAAGAAGCTGGATCTCTTGAGGAAGACATCGGTGACCCTGTGGTGGATGTGTATAGAAATGATTCACTTCTTCCACAAGATATCTAACACCATTATTTAGGTCATTGTATACTGGGGAAATGAGAAGATGAGATATTTTGAGAACTCTTGGACCCAGAGTCTGAAAATACCTTGATTTCCAAGGATCTGGACCATTGTAAGCATCCCCTCTGGAATGAGCAAATGTGTAGGTCAGATAAAAATAGAGCCCTGGTGTATGTCTGACTCATAATGAGTCTAATTGGTATCTGAGCCCATTCTATGTTTATTTCCTAATTATCCAAATGTATAACTCCAAATGTGTAACTGAGTAGTCGTCAGAACTCTAACATTGGGTCCTTGGCTTATGTATGGGGTGGGAGATGTTATAGTGGAAAGGCCAGGTGGAAGCTTTTATACTCCTCCCCACACCAAAATAGTATGTGAAAATCATATTGCATTCTTGGGGGACTGGCAAAGATTTGTGCTACCTATCAAGACCTAGAGGGGTGGTGGTCTAACTCCTCCAATAATCAGATGGTGGCAGATAGTGAAGATGGCTGTAAATTTTGTTGCACCTGCTGTGCTGTATGTGGTATTTTGTAGCACAAGTGCAGCCACTATGCTGCAGTATGTGGTATGTTTTTCTAGAATAGATTAATGTAGCTTCAGATATATGGTCTGCAGTCACTAATATGGTTAATATGTTCTTTTCCATCACCTTCAGGAAAGAGAACCAGAAACAGTTTGCATTTATGTGAGATGGACAGTAGTGTCTGTATTGGTCATTTTGGGCTGTTCTAACAAAATACGATAGACTAGTTAGCTTAAACAGTGGAAATTTATTTTCTCACAGTTGTAGAGGCTGGAAGTCCAAGGTCAGGGTGCCAGCAGTGTTAATTTCTAGTGACATCTTTCTTGCTAGCTTGCAGGGAGCTACCTTCTTACTGTGTTCTCATGGTTTTCCCTCTGTGTGTGCCTTCCTCTTCTTGTGTCTCTTCTCTTCTTATATGGACATCAGAACTATTCGATTATAGCCCCATCCTTATGACCTCATTTAACTTTAATAACTTCTTTAAAGGGCCTATCAACAAATATAGTCACTTTGGGGGTTAGGACTTCAATATGTGGCTTTTGGGAGCACACAATTCAACCTGTAACAGGATACATTTATAGTATTTCCCCCAAGTCTTTGTTAACGCTTTCATCCTCTGCTGTAAATTATCCTAAACTGTTCTGAACTATCTCTACATTCTCCAGAGCTTAACACTGGTTCTCTATATGGAGGGCGTCATATTAAACCTAATGATCAGGAAATGGTGAGGCCCATGGTAAGACACATGTGCTCCAAAGGGTGGAAGAAAAACCCTATAAAGGGAACCAGCACATCAATGAGATCTTTAGGGTCCATGGTGTGGGGCTTGGCAGGACATCTCCTCTGATAAAAGACACACTATTACATTTTGCAATTTTCATTGCTAAGAAGGAAGCACAATGCTTGATAGGCTTCTCTAGGTTAAAATTTCATACTCAGGTATATTATTCCAACCAGTATACAGAGGGTTGCCTTCTTTGAGTGGAGTCCAGAGGAGGAAAGTATTGACAGTATATCCAGGCTGTGGTGCAAGCATCCCTGCTTCTTGGACCATATGACTTTTGTGTTATTGGAAGTATCTGTGGTGGGAGAAATTTCCATGTGGACTTTATGGGAAGTTCCAACAGGAGAATTACAGTGTGTAGACTGGAAGGTCTGGAGCAACAATATACCATCTGTATCAAAAAGCGATAAACCATATGAAAAACATCTCCTGGGATGCTAGTGGGTTCTAGTAGAGCAGGAGCATTTAACCATAGGGTTTCAATTGATCATGCAGCCTGAATTCCCCAGCATCAGTTGGGGTTCTCTCAGACCTACACAGTCATCAGGGCCAGTAGCCCAAGTCTTAAGAGGGATCTTAGGACTTAGTAGCAATCCATTATAAATTGGAAGGGATAAAATTAGAGGTGTGCACAAACACCTCTAATTGTGGCCAAAGGATACAAGTAAGCTGAATGAGCCTAGACAGCCGTATCATCATCGTCTTTATACAAATGCTTCTTTTTCAGTTCAAATCTATGACAGCATTGGGGAAGGGTTTTCTTATTACCAGCTGATAGAGGAGAAAAGGCTAAGCTTGGTTCATAAATGTGTGTGCAAACTAAAAAGGGATTGCTGTTCAATTTCATCCCTTCTCACAGGTGGACTGAAAGATGATGCTGATCAAAAATCACCACTGAGCAGAGCTTTGGTTAGAGAATTGGGTAACCCAGTTTTGTCATGTTAAAAGAGGAGTAACCTGAGATAAAAAATATTTGTGGTCTTATGAGCAGAGGCAAATGACTTGGCTGGTTGGTCAGTACCCTAGAAGGAGAAAAAATTTGGAAAATTATGTAACATGGAGGACTAGGAAAGAAACCTGTAGATGGAGCTATGGGAATGTATATAAAGTGTAAAGATTTTAATATTATATGTTAATGCCTTCCAGTAAGTATCTATACATAAGAGGACTAAACAATGAAGTAGACGAAGTTACTTGCCAGTTGATGTTAGCCAGCCGTCATCATCATTGATATTCCTCAGTGCAGGCTCAGGCCTGGAGTAACCATGGAGGAAGAACTTGGGTCAACAGCATAGTATCACAGTCACAAAGGCTGATCTAGTTCCATGTGCTTATGAATGTCCAATCCATTGAAAGGAACAAAATCAACACCTTTGTGGCAAGTGATTAAGTTGGAACATCTCTATACCCGGAAAAGGGCAAAGTTTATTTAGATTGGAATTGACATATGTTCTGGATATAGGTTTATCTTTTCTATAGTGTCAGTTCCCATTATATAAGGGGAAATACCCTTATTTCAAATTTTTTTGAGGGTATTTGAGGGTATTTGAGGTATTTGAGGCACTAACATGTGGTTAGGTATTTGAGGGTATTTGAGGCACTAACATGTGATTTTGCATAATATCTCCTTGGACTAAGGGATACACTTAACATTAAAGAATGTCAACAGTGAGCCTATAACCATGTGATCCAGTCCTCCTTTATATATAGCCAACCTGATAGAATGGTGGTACTATCTTTGTAGAGGCAGTTAGGTATTGTCTTATATATGATACCTACAAAGATAGGGCTCCAACCTACAGAATGTGGTATAATCTTCTAAGTTAACAACCATTATATGATATGATACCTCCAGTACATGGGTATAAGACTTCTCTTACACAACAGCGGCAGAGAACAAACACACATGGCACCCAGTTGATCCACTAGGAGACACTTCTTACACTCTCCTGTCTAATTTTTATGGCAAATGCACAAGTGCAGCAGCCACAGTCTAAGAAGGGCATTATGACCAGAATCTCAGAGTCTCTTAGGATGAAAATCTGGCTAACTTCACCATGCATACCACCTAAACCAGTAACAGTACTGGATGAGAATGAGGAGTACCTAGAATATGCAGTAGGGAAGAAAGAAGAAAGAATTGTTATAGCCTTGGGACTGTTTTCAGTCATGGGCCCTATCCTTCATCCCGCTAGCAGTTGTCTTAAGTTTACCCAGCAAAGAAAGCAACCAGAATCTTAGAAATAGGGTTTCCAAATGAAGTGAACTCACTACACATAGCATATGGCTCTGAGTAGTAAAAGGGGTAGTACAAGGGTAGCCTTTAGTTTGGTGAATTCTCTGATGTGTCTGCCAGATCCCTCTTAGGACTTAGGCACTAATTCCTTAAGCTGTGGGGAATACTGACTGCGGGTACCTCCAGGTAATAATACTGTTGGCTGATGGAAGCTGTCTTACATAAAATTTCACCTGAAGGAAAACCTGTATCCAAAGTCCAAACCATTCCATGTGGGCTGCAAAGGTTTAGCCCACTTTCAGGTCCACTTAGCATTGCCACCAACTCTAGAGCTTCCTGTCATCTTGATTTTGCTTTTTTCCTGAATCACAGTTCAACTTCTCCTTCTCCCCAATCATCGTTACACCTTTATAGGTTTCATTTCAGAGTCACCTTATAGTAAATTTTCTGCACATATTCTCCTCAAAGGCTGTTTCCTTGTGAGCCCAACCAAAGACACCATCAATAATTGCATTCACAAACAACAAATCATTTAGCTTGGCTTGATTTTGGACTTAATATGAATAGATTCTTACAGTTGGCATTGCTTTGTGCCTTGCTTTTTTAATGTTATGTACATTAAAAATTTCCAATCTGTTAATCCAGGTTCATCAATTTTGATACATATGATAGTTTATTCATTTTCACTGCTGTATAGTATCCAAGACATGCATATACTATAATTTATTCTTTCAGCTATTGATGGACATTTGTTTCCATTTTTATTTTAATATTGTAAATAATGATACTAAACACATTCTTATAACTTCTTCTTGGTGTACATAAAAGTCTCCATAGAATATTTAGCTCTCATTTTGCTTGAAGAGCAGCAATAGTCTTGGATTTGAATTGATAAACAGACTGTGAAACCCAGTAGGTTTCACCCTGAGGCAAATGTATGTAGCTTTTAGAAAGGATAAGAGTAGTCAGTAAAATATATATAACAACAGCATAGCAGGGGTCACTTGACTTCTAGAAGTTGCTTTCCATGCCACTGACACTTTGTATGAAGGGAACACGTCAGAGAAGATGAGGCTGAATGTTTGTGGATCATCTGAGGTAATGTTTGTCATCAGATTTAGAGTCCCATCAGCTTTCATACCTTGATAGTCATGTAAACCCCTAAGGCATAATGTTACTAGCTTCCATCCTTTTGTGCAGCTGCATGTCAGTCGTCCAATGAACAATCTCAATGATCACATGCTTGGCTCAGTACATAGCAACCTCACTGGGACTATCATTTACCTTAGACTTTGTACACTTTTATATATTCCTTGTGTTAGTTTTGCAAGTGATTTGAGTAAAGGTCAGAATCTCCCCATCCCTGATACTGAAGGAAAGATTACGGTCCAGCTGCTCGTACTGTCCTTCCAAGTGCATGCATAAGAGTAAAATTACCAGGTCATGCGTTATGTGCATGTTTGTTTTTACAGGTGCTACCAAACTTTCCCAAAGTGAATGTACCAATTTGCATTTTTACCAGCAGTGGCTGAGACTTTTTTTGCTTTACATCTTTGTCACCTCCGGGATCATCAAAATTCTTCATGTTTCCAGTTGAATCATTATAGAATAGTGTCTCATTATACTTTGGATTTTCATTTATTTCTTATCAATAATGAAGTTGGGCATCTTTTCATATGTTGATTTACCACTCTTTTTTCTCAATGTGAAATGCCTATTCATATTTTCCCATTTTTCTACATAATTATTTGTTTCTTAGTAATTTTAGTTTTTTATATCATATGAACACTAACCCTTGTTAGTATGTAATGAAGATATAGGAAATTAGTTTATCACTTCTCTTCCCCCTCTCTTTACTATGTTTATCTTAAACTCTTATGGAATTTATAGTCTTACCCCATGTTTTATGCTTTTGGATCATGTTTAATAAACCTTTCCCTACCTTTCCTATCCCAAAGGCACAAAGATAGTCTCATGTGGATGGCTCATTTGTAGTTGATTTTTGTATGTTGATGTGTGCATGTGAGGTGGTGGTACTATGTACAACACACATATAGATATACACATAGTTATCACTGTAGAATTTTGTGAGTAGACATCCTTTTGCCACCAATCTGTGATGGTTATTTTATGCTCTGCCATATGTTAAGTTTAATATATAGTGAAGTTGCTGATGGAGTTTGAGATATCATATGATTTTATTTTCTAATCTGTTAGAGACTCACATTTTAAAAAAATTTTCCAGTATTAAACCAGATTTACATTTTTTGAATTGAAATTAAATTGGTTATATCATATTTTTGTACATTACTTAATTAAATTTGATGGTATTTATTGAGGAATTTTGCACCTGTGTTCATAAGGGTCCTAGGCCAGTAGCTTTATTAATTTGCATTATCCTTGATTAATTTGACTATCTAGATAATGATAAGTTTTGTAAAGAGAGATTGTTTCACCCTGAATGGCAGATACAATATTAAAGGAGAAACACAAAGTTCAAAGCTAGACACTATCCAACTTCTGGGTCTTACTACAAAGCTACAGTAGTCAAAACAATGTAAGATTGGTAAAGGAATAGACAAATAGATCAATAGAACAGAATAGAGCGTCCAGAAATAGACCCGTATAGTCAACTTATCTTTGACAAAGGAGCAGAAACAATACAATAAGGCAAAGATAGTTGTTTCAAAAAACGGTAGCGAAACAAGTAGATATCCAAATGCAAAAAGATGAATCTAGAGACATACCCTAATACCCCTCCCAAAAATTAACTCAACATGGATCACAGAACTAAATGTAAAATGTAAAACTATAAAACTCCTATAAGATAATATTGAAGAAAATCTTGATGACTATGGGTATGACAGTGACTTTTAGATACACAACAAAGGCATGAGCCATGAAAGAAAGAATTGATAAGATGGACTTTATTAAAATTAAAAGCTTCTTCTCTGCAAAAGAGTGAGAAGACAAGCTATAGACTGTGAGCACAGATGGGCATGACTACACATGGCACCATCCCACCACCTTGCTGAGATAGGTGGAGCAAAAGGTTGCAGCATTATCCTGCCACCTTGCTGAAGCCAGAGAGTGTGGATGGTTGCAGCACTCCCAGTTTTCTGGCTGGATCAGGCAAGTACAAATGGTCATGGCATTCTCCTGCTCTCTAGCTAAAGTTGGCAAGTGCAGGCAGTTGTGACACCCTGTCTCTTCCTGGTTAGGGCTGGAAGCATAAGTGGTCATGGTATTCTCCCACTGCCAGCCTAAAATAGATGCTAAATGAGATTCCTTTCCATGGAACACTGACAGATCTTGGAGCGCTCAACAATGGGACATGTCAAGAACAAAATAGACAATTTAGACAATCACAAAGGTTTAAGAAAGAACTGAGAGCTAAGTCATGATTGAACCAGGTTTCTCACCTACCCAAGGCCACTCCTTCAAGACTGAGAGAGGTAGTTGCCTAATACATAGAAACAAACACAGAGAGTCAAATAAAATGAGGATACAGAGGAATGTGTTCCAAATGGGAGAACTAGACAGAGCCCCGGAAAATGACCTTCGTGGAAAAATGTAAGGAATCTACCTCTTAAAGAATTTCAAGTAATGACCGTAAAGATGCTTCTTGAATCTGGGAGAAGAACATATGAACACAGTGAGAACTTTAACAAAGAGATGGGAAATATAATAAAATACTGAACTTAAGGCATAGAGATGAAGAATATAATAACTGAATTGAAAAAATACATTAATGAGGTTCAACAGCAGACTGGATAAAGCAGTAGAACAGATCAGTGAGCTGGAAAACAAAGCAATGGAACTCACCCAGAAAGAACGACAAAAAGAAAAGAGAATTTTAAAAAATGAAGTTAACTTAAAGGACCAGTGAGACAACATTAGTGGAATAGCATCCACATTAGGGGTCCCAGAAGGAGAAAAGATAGAGAAAGGATCAAAAAACTTACTTGAGGAAATAATGTTTGAGAGCATCCCTAACCTAAA